TGAAAAAATATCGAAAATTAGCGATTTTTAAATTTGTAATTTTTTGGGGGATTTCCCCCGTTTACGGGGAACGAGGGAATTTTTTTCAATTTTTGAGGGTAATGTCTTCGACTAGATACGATTTGTGATCTTTTGACATATTGTTCATCAAAATCGGTCCAGCGAGAGCTGAGATTGAGCGTTCACAGACACAAAAAAAAAAATAAAAAAATAAAAAAACACATCATAGTAAAATTAATACCTTCTCAGCTTCGCATCGAAGCTAAAACAATAATTTAACTTTATTATATACCCTGTTCAGCAACTATGGAAAGGACTTTCCATTATTCTCATTATTAGTAGCAATTGACCTGTTTCCTTACTTTTTAAATACTCAGTATTATATCTCACTAGTAACTACGATAAACTATCGAATTCCTATCAATGACAAGTATAGNCTCACTAGTAACTACGATAAACTATCGAATTCCTATCAATGACAAGTATAGTTATCAGACAGTGATTGACATCACTTATCATTCATAGAAAAGGTTTATAGAAAAGAAATATATGAGGATTGTGTTACTAAAGATGTAGGAAAAATAGAAGCTGGGATATAATTGCATGAAACTACAGAGAATAGGGAGAGCTGGTTTAAAGACCTTTACACTTAAAAGAAAAAACTTTTGATAAATTACGATATTATGAAATAACTATGTTAAATGAAATGTTTTTATGATTTTTGAAGTATAATTACTTGAATGGGAGTTTTTATTTTTTTATGTATTCAATGTCTGAAGCCTAACAACTAATATGTTTATAAAAATACATTTTTATGTGTCAAATATGTTAAAAATAAGAATTACCATTCTCTGATATACATACAGAAAATCCCTAATTTTGATGAATTCTAATATAATGTAGTAAGAGGCAATGACATTTAAAGCCCATACCTGAACCATGCAGTCACTGATTTTAGTTTTCTAGTTTTAGTTTTTTAATATTATACAGANATTATTTTGCATATACAGGGTGATTTTTTTATCATAAACCACTCAATTACTTGCAGAATAATAATAATTTAAACATTTTTTTTTTTCATTATCTTTAGTTACACATTATTCTTGAATTTTTAACTATGTAATACTTTTTAAGTTCATCCCTTATGCCTTGGAAGAGGGTCAACTTTGTTTTTTTAAATGGTAACACATATTTTGAATTTAATAAAATGTTTGCGATTTTAATTTAATAGTAAATGGCATTTGAATTTTTAATATAACATTATTAGCTTATTAGACATAAAGTTTCAAATTTTTGAGTTAATATACATGTATAATACACGAGGGATTACAAAAACAGGTAGCTAATTGATTTTTTATTACATCGATATTAGCAGTATTAACCTAACAGTATTAGCATTAACCTGCTAATATCGATGTAATAAAAAATTAATTAGCTACCTGTTTTTGTAATCCCTCGTGTATTATACATGTATATTAACTCAAAAATTTGAAACTTTATGTCTAATAAGTTTATACCTATATATTAACTCAAAAATTTGAAACTTTATGTCTAATAAGCTAATAATGTTATATTAAAAATTCAAATGTCATTTACTATTAAATTAAAAACTCAAACATTCTATTAAATTAATAATATGTGTTACCATTTAAAAAAACAAAGTTGACACCCTAACAAGGCATAAGGGATGAACTTAAAAAGTATTACATAGTTAAATATTCAAGAATAATGTGTAACTAAAGATAATGAAAAAAAAAAATGTTTAAATTATTATTATTCTGCAAGTAATTGAGTGGGTTATGATAAAAAAATCACCCTGTATATGCAAAATAATATATGAACTAAATTAAATTTGTTTACACATTTGTTAGCAAAATAAATATATATTTGAATAAAATTATATTTACTTATGATACAGATTAAATCAAAGTAAGAATAAAAACAATGTATATCAATTAATAAAATATACGGACGTCAACATAAAAATTTATTTTATAAATATGAGATTCGTGTAACATAAATTATATGTATTCATAAATAATATTTTATAGGCAGAAAAAAGTTACAAAAATATGACACGTAGTCAAAAAATTAACATTCACTTTTTATTTTTTTTTTTCAACTTTTTTCCAATTTTAAGCGTGGATGCTAAAACGAGATCATTCAACATAATGGAACACACAGTAATATTGAAGAAATTCTTTAAAAACTCTGAATGGCGAAATTTTAAAAACATTATAAAGGTTAGTTATTTAAAAAGAGATTATACATTAACAAAAATTTTCGAAAAATCAATCAATGTAAAAAGTTGTAATACTTATATTCGTGTTGCAACTCTGTTTCTTGCATGTACATATGGTAATATTTTAAAGAAAATCTTCTACATAATCACTAAATTTATTCAACATTGTAAAGAAAACTTCGAGAAAAAAAATGAAGACCCAAACAAAACCAATCAAACCTATGGGTACATTTGTACTGAAACTTTGTTAGAAGCTATAAATAATTTAGTTCCAATGACAACAAAAATGAAAGGCGCCATGGATGCTATTGAAAGCTTACACACTGCTCCTTGGTATATTAATAAAAATACTAATTATGTATTAAACAAAACTTTTAAACATATAAAAAAAATACCCGAAGATTATAATAAGTCGTTAATCTCACGAAATGATCCGTCTTCCTATAAAAAAATATTAATATACTGTAATCAATTTTTTTCGCTAAGAAATAATGAAATCGAATTATCTTTGAATTATTTTTGCGATATAGTACAAGTAGATTTGAAATCAATGTGGTCTAGTTTAATGAAGAATTACAATAGCGAAAATAAATCAGAGAACTATTTATATAATTTCCTCCATAAAACTATTAAAACTATTATCGATTTATCTATTGACGAAAAGTATTCTAAATTGGGATTTATATATGATTCAAATACTAATCAGACGTTAATACCAAATCCTGATAATGTAATATTGAAACCACATAATGTTTTTCAAGACCGTAAAGTAGAAAACGTACCATAATTACGAATAATCTTATTTTTATTTTTATTATTAAATATTCCTTCTATTGTCAACATTAAAAAAAAAACGTTTCTATTATTATTTANTTAACATTAAAAAAAAAACGTTTCTATTATTATTTAAAATCAATATATTTTATAATACTTTAATTTTAAATAACGTTAGCTACATATGATCATGATTTATTATATTTATTTTTATTTTTTTCAAATTATATTATACCAATTGATGTAATTAATAAAAAGAATTAACTAATATAGAATGCCCCACCAAGTCTTGGNATGTTTTTCAAGACCGTAAAGTAGAAAACGTACCATAATTACGAATAATCTTATTTTTATTTTTATTATTAAATATTCCTTCTATTGTCAACATTAAAAAAAAAACGTTTCTATTATTATTTAAAATCAATATATTTTATAATATTTTAATTTTAAATAACGTTAGCTACATATGATCATGATTTATTATATTTATTTTTATTTTTTTCAAATTATATTATACCAATCGATGTAATTAATAAAAAGAATTAACTAATATAGAATGCCCCACCAAGTCTTGGCATCTTTAATAACTTTTATTCCAGTGAATATTCTGCATTACTTTTATTATAAACTTTAATAAATTATTAAAGATGTCAAAACATGGTGGGAAATTCTGTATTATATCTGGGGCGTCATTTCAGTTCTTTTTTTGGGTGCGCGAGACTTAAAGTAGGCCATTTTGAAATTTCATCAGGTCATATAAAAATAGATATACCTACTTAAGTAAATTATTCTTCTTTTAATTTTTCTATAGATTATGAATCACAATCAACATAAATAGTGATTATAAATTATATTAATACTTACTATTTTAATATTATATAACGTAGCTTCGGGGTCGTAGCAATCGTTGAATTTTATATCAATCTGTTCATTATCGCCCTTAACTGCGTGACAAAAAAGTCGTGATAAAATCATTTACGAACATCAATATCAATATCTTGCGTCCGGTATGAATAACAATAGTTCAATATGATATATTTATTGATTAATCAATCAATTGATACATAGTTAATAACATAATATTTGTTTATTGACCCATATAATCATGATAATACAATGTTTTTGAAGATTGAATTCATGTATAAAAAATTGGTGAATCATTTTTTCAGGCCAATTGTCATTGTTTTTATAGTAAGTGGGCAACCGCACCCCCTGACANTCATTGTTTTTATAGTAAGTGGGCAACCGCACCCCCTGACCCCCCTCTCTACACCAAATGACGCCCCCGTATTATAATAATTTCTAATAATTACGAATTTATTTAAAAAAAAATTCAAATAGAATTGGCCATTTTAAAATGATTGGTACAATATTAATAATGAACATAAAATAGAAATAGAAATATTCTAATTATCAAAATACTAAGAAAAGAAGTGCATTAAAAAANAATAGAAATATTCTAATTATAAAAATACTAAGAAAAGGAGTGCATTAAAAAAGAGATAACTGTCATTATTTCTAATTCTCAAATTAGTCTTGCTATCAATTAAAAATAATTAAAAAAACATCATTAATACGAGTAGTGTTTCACTAATTAATTTATTAGAATGTGTATAAGTTGTCTAGAAATAACTTTGAGATATATAAAAAAGTTAAAGAAATGTATGTGTTTAATCACACCAGCAAAAAAATACGAAAATAAATCATGGTTTAATAGATAAAATATAAATTATGAAGTAAATTATAGTATATTATAGAAAATATTGCAAAAACATTTATTTATATACATTACATTTATATACAATTTATAGAGTGTTGAGTTAGTAAGGAAACATGTTTATATTGTTCTCATTACTTGTAACAATCGACTTGTTCCCTTTTTTACTGAACATTCTGTATCTCACAAACAGTTTAGCATATAAAATTTTTATTTTTTATATTTCTTTAGAAAATAAAATTATAAACTATTTTTATGTGAAATGACCGTTTGTAAGCGTTTGTCAAATAAATAAAAAATCTTTAAATTTGTCTATTTTAAAAAATTTGTGTATTTTGTATTTTTTTAGGTAAACTGTTGGATTTATCAAAAAGGTTGTTATTACCGCTTAGAGTATCTATTTATTTAAAAAATAACTAGCTCTACGACTTGGAAGATAGGAAGATTAATATACTTTAATTGTTAGTATCAACTTTAAATAGTAACAATGATTTTTAAATAAATAGAATAAGAATGTTAGGTAGTCAAAGATGGTTCTTGGCTAGACCAAAGACGAACGGAATGGGTGTTATGGCCGACTTGTATCAGAGACCAGACACTACCAATGAATAAATCACAAGAAATCTCATTGGAACCCTGGTAATTAAACTCGTGACGCCGTGCACCGAAACACACGTTTGTTATAATTTAAAATAACAAAATAAAAATATGTTAAAAATGGGTGTAAAGATTGTATGGGTATTTTAACCAAAGTTGGATACTAGGGGATTTGGTCAAACTGTGAGCAACGAGGTTCTATCGGGGTTGTGGAGTCCGAGGGCTTAGAACAACGAATACAAGTAGATATAAAAATAATAAACGCAATATTTCTGTGTTGAGATGTAATAAAGTACAGTCTGGTTGGTATCTAGTAATATACACAATGGTAGCAGAACGACAAGTCAGTTCACGGATACCATGTAACGCGATTGTGTACAAGACCTTAACCAACCAGTCTAGTATAATATTCTACAATATTAATATAATGAATGATCTATTGCTTCGTCGTTCTCTACTCAGATTTATTAACTCTAAATAATTGGGATAACATAAATTTACTTACTTCTTTTTTCGCAATAATGAATTGTAAATCAAAGACAATTCGACAATCCTTCTGATATATACACGGAAAAAAATTATGGTTTGGTTAACCACTTAAATGGTTACGGTACCCCAAAATTTAGTGTTTATATAACAACAGCTATGTACTATGGTTAAAATTACCATGCTTATGTGGTTAGTATCTTACGGTTGTTATAACTGTATGACATAGTTGTATGAACTTTTGTTGAATAGGTTGTAGTAACCTAATGAAATAGTTGTATAAGCAATACATTATAGTTAACTTAACTGTACGTTTGGTTAAGCCTACCAAACTAAATTGTTGACTATTTGTTAAATGTTACCGTATTTTAAGGGTATTTTTTTGTCATATACTACGTATAAGTGCGTATATAATAATAATATGTGTCAATAGATTTGATAATAATTTAAGAACTTTATAAAATATACTTTATATAGCATAAATATAATCAGTTTATTCACAAAACATAAAAATTAAAATTAAACAATATACAAATCACCATTTTTGTGTGCAAAACAAAATGTAGGCCTCATCCTCGGTAAATATTTCATATCTATCTTAATCATTTTTTCGGTAAAATGAACATATACGATTGATAATTTTCATAAGATCCGTCAGTTTTATATAATTTACAAATTAAAAATCTCTGGCATATCTGGGAGAACACAAATATGCTTAATAAGACCAAATACAGGTAAACCGTCATCCACTTTTATGTCAACACATACTATTTACTGAGAATCTAGTCCCTAACCACTCTACCCAAGAAACAAATTTATAATTGTTTATTTCAGAAATATTATTTGAAATTATTTGTGTTTCCTCTATTGACAATACAATACGTTTTCCAATGTTAAATAAAATTGATGGGTCAAAGCTATTATTTTTGCTGTTTAATTTGTGGGAAACTATAAGCTGATTTTTTAAAAATAGAGTGTAACATATATTTTTTCGATTGGACGTGGCTTGAGCAGCAACTTTTGACTCTTTATGTTTTGCTTCATAGCACATAGACCATATATTTATAAGTGGCCCTATTTTGTCCATTATTAAAGGATAGTGTACCATATGATGATGCTTTGGCTTTAAATTAGTTTTCATTAGATTAATAAAAATTTGATGATGTTCATCTATTAAATTTTTGAGGATATCTATATCGTCAGGTACAATAGAATACGAAGTAATAATATTTATTATCTTATTAAGTAAAATATATAAACCCAACACTTGATTACCTTTGGGCACCAAATCCCCAATAATAAGTCCTAAATACTTAGTGAAACACCAAGTTTCACTAGCATTCATTTTAAGCATTTGAGGGTTTGAAATTTTTAAATGAATTTCTGATATGCCTTGTGGCCTGTTTCTTATATCAGTAGGACCGTCATTAAAGAAATGAATTCGTTGATTCAGAGTTTCTAAGGAAAAATGACATGAGTTAATTATAAGATTCCTTAAAATACCGGTTAATTCATAGTCACAAACACCCTCCAACAAGTCGTGCATGATATCAACAGGAAAATTATTAGTAACATGAAATGAATTAATATTGTTAAATACGCATGATTCAACAATACCAGTTGTCGAGACACTGGGGGAAAGGATGTGTTCGGAATAATTTTCATATGTTCTAAGTTTATTATTGTTTTGAACTGTACATGAATTGCATTCAGCCTTGGAGCAAAGGCAGAATCGGCAAGAATAATTAGAGTTAAAAGATTCTGAAAAACCTAGAATACTATGTAGGCCTAAGTTATTGCCTAAAATAAGGGCTAACGAAAAATATATTTTAATGTTTAAATTATTCACATTGATAAAGATCCCGTTTGTTTCTAACATATTAATATCTGAAATCAATTTATTAAATATTGTAAAATTTCCCAAATTTTTTTTATCGGCTGTGTAAAACAACAATATTAAAAATATATTTTCTAATTTAGAAAAAAATTCTGGAGGACAACCTGGTAAACTTAAGTATACTGCTCCTAATTTTTGAATTCCTGCACGACTTCCTAGAGATATTATTTGTCTCGTAGTCATCATAATAAAGAAAAAAGGAAAAATTATTTTATCCTGGTTAATGGGTAGTGCCATGAGGGACAAACCTCCATAAATTACTCTGGAGAAAATTGATTACAATTCCATTGAAATTTTCAGTCATTAAATATTGAGAATAATTCATAAATACCTCATAAACATTATGAATCTCAAAAAATTGTTTGAACAAAACCATCTGCAATTTCTTCAACAGAAAGTCTAAAGTTTTGGATTTTTTTCCTTTTTAAATTGTTTACTGGCTTCGACGTAATAGTAATTGTCGGAAATTAACCGTAGTAATATGTATAATATTGCAACATCAATTTCTGTAATGTACAAAAATTACATTTAGTATTTTTTTTTTTTGTCATTTAATTAATTCTCTATTAAATCGATTAAAAGACAGAGTAACATTTATTAAATTAAAAAAAATTAAAAACCTAAAACAATATGTTTCTCTATGATGTCCAAATAATATATAGATAAATTTTTATTTTTAACAATATTTTTGTGGTGTTTGTTAATATAATTCCATATACAATTGGCAAATACTTGAAATTTTTGAAAAAAGATTACTTCTTTATCTGGACATAAAATGTTAAAATCCAATTCAATCTGAAAAGTTAAATGACCTAAATTAAAATTATTAATTATTTAATAATGATAAAATAATGAAAAATAGTTCTTTGAATTCTTTTTAGTAGTCTTGCTAACTGAGTATTGTGTTGTTGAACTAATAAAATCGAGAGTTAATAATAATAGTTTTTAGTTTTAATAATTATATTAATATATCTTATTTAAAGGATTTAAGAATATTTATATTTTTGACTTGCACTTTAATAATTGTACATTTACTCTACATGTTATGTATTTTTTACTTTATAAAGTTCAATTAATCATACTCATGACTAAATGACAATGTTATATTCTTTTACATTTTATTCTCTGGTATTTATTGACTTCCAAATTAATGACTAAAATTAAAACTGAAAACAATGTAACTTTGATCCAAAAATACTAACCAACTGAAATCCATTAACACTTTTGAATGATGGATATTCAAAAAATAATGAAATGCTTTCATTGCTTTCCGTTAATTTTTGTTACCTATAACTACTTGTTTTTCTCCATTTATCTTTAACTGAACTTATGGGCTCAGAATTATTTTTGAGCCAGAGTATCATATCTAAACAAATTTAATTTGGTTAAGATACAAATGAGCTCCAAAAAAATACCACAGTCAGAAATATTGAATTTTTAACTAACTATTATTTTCATCTTCACAAGATTTCTGGATTATTGTGACATTTTTTTTTTCAGTTTTACTGTACAGTTGTCTAATTGCTTTTCGTATATTGCAGTATCGATCCCATAATGTACCCCTAGTCAGTTTAACTGAATTACCAACTTTTTGGTATGGTGAATAGTAAACAACTGCCGGACAACAGTTGACAATATCAACTGAAAGTTGTTGAAGTTGAGCAGTAGTTAGTGTATGGTTGTTACTTGCCTTCACTTCATTATGAACAATTAAATGAACCATAATGTTTCTCATTTTTGAATTTAAGTCTTTATTTTTTTCATATAACTTGATAACCATTCCAAGTTTTCCAAGATTTCAGTGCTTTTTGTAGTGTGCGATAATACAGGAATATTATGTGCAGCGCTTTTAGTGATCTTTTTAGTTTATTGTATCTAATTATGCATTACATGATTATTATATTGAGATAGCATATTTAACAATGGATAAATTGACATATATAAATAATAAGAAATTATGTTGAACAGTGTACATGTTATGACATATAAGTTATTTGTTTTATTACAAGTAATATAAAATACAGATTATAAATTTTTCATTGATTTTATCAATTACATTATAATGAAAATTTCACAATATTATTGAAAACATTTTTTGACAAACCTAAATGGCGGAATTTTAATTACATTAAAAACGATAATTATTATAAAATGAAATATACTTTAAAGAAGAATCAAAGTAAAATATTTTAATATTAATATACGTGTTGCAACTCTGTTTCTTGCATGTAGATAAGATAATATTTAAAAAAAATTTTCTTCATCACCAAGAATTTTATTCAACATTGTAAAGAATTTTTTGAGGAAAAATAAATAACCATGGTTATTTTTGTACTAAAATTTTTTTATACACTGTACATAATTTAGTTCTAATGGCAACAAAATGAAAGGCACTACACAGTTATACATGGTATAATACCAAAAATAAAATTTATATATAGCAAAACTTTTAAAAATATAAAAGAAATATCGGAAAATTATAATAAGTTGTTAATTGTACATGATGATCAGTATTCATATAACAAAAATTTAATACATTGCAATAAGTTTTTATGTCGATTTGGACATATTTCGAACTCGATTTGGAATTTAGCGTAATAGTACTAGAAGATTGAAAATCAATGTGGACCAGTTTAAAAGAAAAATATAATAGCAAAAGCTATTTATAAAATTCCATTCATAAAGCCATTAAAAACATTATTGATTCGTCTATTCACAAAAAGTATTATACATTAGCATTCATTTAATTCGGATACTTATCAGATGATAATACCAAATCCTGAAAAAGTAATATTGACACCACATGAAGTTTATCAAGACCGTAAAGTAGAAATCGTACCATAATAACGACTAAACTTACTTTTTATATAAAGATCATATTTATTACTTTTGTTTCAATCGTTAATATTTTAACACTTTATTAATCTTTACTTTAAGTATTATTTTAGTAATTTCAATTGAGTTTTAATATAAAGAAAATTTTCTATTTTATTACCTATTGCATTCTAGTCACGAAGGATATTTTGATTAAAAATATTATATTATATTGAATTTTCTTCAATTTAAAATGATTTCGTCTCATTGGACATACGAAAGAAAAAAAGTTATATAAATTAATTTAGAAATAGAAAACTTATAAAAAAAATTTATTTTAAATTGAATAAGTATTATAGATAAATGGTAATAACAAAATGGTATTCTAGTGTGGTTGAGTTGGGTCTAGACACAGTGGGAACGTGGCAATCTGACAGCGCTTAAAATCATTATCATATAGAAAGCTTCATCTAGCTGTGGCTCCGTCCCAGACCCGATACCCTGTAGGCCTTGCACGTCCTCGGCTCGTTAGGCCCTTCAGACTGTCCTCACAGGTAGGCCACTGATTCACAATTATGATTTATGATTAAAAACAATCTTTAAATGCCGTGTTATTAATGGAAACTACATACACTAACATAAAATTTAAACGAAATTGAGATGCGCAAAGCAAAATCATACCGTATTAAAAAATATGCGCGTGGACTTGCGTAGCATGTAAATGTCAGTGGTATATGAACAAAACAGAAAAAAATCGTTTTCATGAAGAAAAGTGGCGCAAGGCATTAGGACGGCACGGCCTGAAGTGCCGACAAAAAAAACTCGTAACTCGGTGAAAATTGAACAGAATTCAACGAAATTTTCAGGGTACCTTTGGGATATCTCTGAACAAACTTGGTAAAAATTTTAAGATTTAAATCGAAAAGTACTGACGTCAATGAGCATTTTTGATAAATTTTATAAACGCTCACGGCGTTCTAAAAAATTTTTCCTAAAATAACGTCATCGAGTTCTTTTGTTAAAAAAAATTTTTGGAATTCGTGTACGTAGTTAAGTAATTTTTCCAGCATAGGCTAATTTTTCAATGTTTTATTAAATAATAAAGTAACATTTTTTAATATAGCACTTCAGAAGTTCTAACATTTAAAATATAGAGTGGAAGCACGACAGAGTAATGCGTCATGATAATAGTAACGTCACCTTTACTCTACATTTTAAATAATTAATACTTATGAAATAATTTTTTAAAAGCTGTTTTCGATCAGTCATCTTTTTAATTATATCATTTTTTACTTAATAAGTTAAATATGCATGTAAACAAAAATATTATGTTTTTTAACTACGTCAACCGTTTTTACATAAAAGTCATCGGGACATTTTTTTTTTATTCATAACATAGGCTCTATTTTAACATATGTTTAAAGCTTGGGGTATTTCCGGAAAATTTTCAAAATTTCAATAGTAAAGTCTAACGTTTCATGAAAATTCCCAATTTTGACTTCCTCTCTATGGGTGGTCAGGTAAGGGGTCAATTTTTTAAAAAAGTTATAGCAACTAAATGGTAAATACCTAAGGTATTTACACAAAAAAAATTGTTTTCCATTCATTCATTATTCAAAAAGTTATAGCAGTTTTAATTGAAAATAGTTTAAAAATTATGAAACATACCAATTAAAAAATCGCAATTTTTTGGAGGATTTCCCTCATTTATGGCAAACGAGGGAATTGTGTAGGTAATGATTCCAACTAGATACAATTTTTAATATTTTGACGTAAAGTTTGTAACGTCAAAAATTCGAAGGTGGACCATTTATAATTTTTTTTATGCCTATTTATCTGTTTTATTTTTATCGCAAAAGAGAATGCGCAAATGAACCTATTTCTGACACAGCGGTGTCAAGAACTCATTATTTCTGCCACTGACCAATGGATAAGGTGTCAAGTGAGAATAAATACAATTAAAATCGAATTGTTCATCGGTATTGATCTGTCTCGAA